GTTTCAGCTGGAAGGAATCTTTTATTTGCTTCATTTAATAAATTGTTACTGTAGTATGCATCCGACAAGATACAGTGAAATATGCCAGGAAAAAAATAAATTGTGCAATCTGTCATTTTTGTCTTCTTTGTTAACATTCCTATAGTAATGGAGATTACTTGTGAATGTCTTATGTGTCAACGGTGACATGAAGAGGATTCAGTATAGATATACACGTGTGTTAGGGAAGTGAACAGACAGGCGGAGTGGCTGGTGCTACACATTTGGTGGTAAGTTGATGCATGACAAGCTTGATATGGTTCAGGACCTTTGAGAGTAGTTGAACAATGGTGAAAACATGAATAGACCATTACAGTGTGGAGATGATGATACAGCAGGGAGTGACACGGGAATTTAAGAATCAACATCACAGCTCAGTCCCCATCTTCAACAGCAAGCAGAGTTCCAATTCCGATAGCACCAGTAACTGTCTAATTGTATATCCATCTCATCCTTCCCCTGAGTGCTGAGCGTCGGCCAGATCCCCTGGTAACTCCTCGCAGCCACATTCTCTTTAGACTGTAATGATCTAACTGTGCCCCCACAGTGCTGCATTTCTCATCAAAGATATTAAATGTATATTACCTGGTGTGTCAAAATTAAACAAAGCATCTGTTAAGATGTGATGGGCCGAGGGCGCAGATATCACAGCCTTGCTGTTAACCGCACAACGTACCAACCACATTTGTTTTCTTCAAAATTTCTTTTCTCAGGGGGAAAATGTAATAGGACTGAAGAAGCTAGTATGTATGTACAGTGCAGACCACTTTAGGCGATCTCGGATGTGAAGAATTTCTGTATGAAGAATAATTTATTTATCCCCTGCAATTTTTCTTGCTCAAATTCTTATCTGGATAAGAGGAATTTCTGATAAGAAGAACCAATACTTGAGTCCTCGTTGAGTTCTCTTATCAGGTCTGCACTGTACTACATCTAGTGGCATCCGTGGCTTAGGCGTTGCGTAATTCCAACATACCGCAATCGAAACCCACTGCTGGCTGCATGAATTTTTATCATGGTATGGGGTGTCGCAAGTCGATCCAGCCTAAAATGGGTAATGGAGGATAGCATTTCAGCTCAAAAGCCCCTATTCTCTCTCTTAACTCTTAACGGAATCAGATGCAAGATAAATTAAATATACTTAATACGAGATCACAGCAGCTTGGTCTGAAAATCCATAAAGGAAAGACAAAGATAATGAGAATAAATCAGGCAAATAGTAATGTGGTTTCTCTTAATGGCACCCCACTCCAAGACGTGGAGTCGTACACCTATTTAGGCAGTAATGTAGATAAAGATGGAGGAACTGATAGAGATATTAAAATAAGAATACAAAAGGCAAGAGGGGCTTTCATAGCACTAGGGAATTTGTGGAGTTCAAAAGAAATTAAAAGAAATACTAAACTAAAAATTTTTAATTCTAATGTCAAATCAGTACTATTGTATGGGGCGGAAACATGGAGAACAACGAAGGCAATTACTAATAAATTACAGACATTCATTAACTGGTGCCTGCGCAGAATAGAGGGAATAAAATGGTATGATAGAATAACTAATGTAGAACTTTGGGAGAGAACTAAACAGGCTCCAGTGGATCAGGAGGTGAGGAAAAGACGCTGGCGTTGGATAGGGCACACACTGAGAAAACAGGAGAACAGCATAACTAGAATGTCTTTGCATTGGAACCCACAGGGGCATAGGAATAAAGGAAGGCCAAAAAACACATGGAGAAGAGAGCTGAAGAATGAGGTTAGAAAGATTGGGAGGACATGGGGAGAGCTCCATGTAATGGCAAAGGATAGAACGACTTGGCGTGAGTTGGTTGAGGGCCTATGCTCCATTGGGGGATAGAAAGGCAGAAGAAGAAGAATGGGGTGTCGCAAGTCGATCCAGCCTAAAATGGGTAATGGAGGATAGCATTTCAGCTCAAAAACCCCTATTCTCTCTCTTAACTCTTTGAGTCCCAAGGAACGCATCATACGTTCATATATTCCTACCTAGAAGCCCAAAGAACGCAAGATGCGCCGATTTTACGTCTTTCTTGACTACCCCTTGGGCCTGTGATGCTAAACCCCCGGGACTCAAAGAGTTAAGGACTGAGAGATAGTCCACGACTCACATCCATATGTAGCCACAGGGAAGATGCATGCTCTCAAAATTCTAATTTTGATCTCCTTGCTGGTGCTTAACCATAGACTTTCAAGGGTGTTCAATCTTTGCATTGCCAAGGCCATCCTCCTTTTAATTTCTGTCAAACAGTCTCCACTGCTGTTTATTATAGAGCCTAGATATTCAAAGTTTGTGACATTTTCAATTTCTTCATCATTTATTGTTATTTTTGGCGACAGCCAGTTTTATCTGTGGACATTATTTTCGCTTTCTTTAAATTCAAGAACAGATTTTGATCTTCACGGTAAGGAAAATTAACGTTTTCTGATTTAAGTAAGGAAAATTAATATTTCCTTCTTTTTTAAGTAAGAAGTGAAAACGTTTTTCCGATTTAAGTGAATAAAATAAAGGTTTTCTGATTGAAGTAAGGATAATTAATGTTTTCTGATTTAAGTAAGGACAATTAATGTTTTCTGATTTGAGTAATTAATTTGTGTTTTGCTGTTTCACTGATCAAACACCAGAATTCACTCTTGACATAAATTCTACAGCTGAATGACAATCAGTACACAGATGAACAAAATTCAGACGTTGCCAGACAACAATAAATCAGTTTAATCTTTACACAAATTAAAAACAGGATCAATGACACTCAACAGCAATGGCCCTAAAACAGAGAAGTTTTCAGGCTGCATTTCTTTATCCTAGGATAAGACTAGCATCCTGCCCCATGCATCCCTCCGCCAAAAGCCTCTGCTTATACAAGTATTCTCATGGAAACAGCTTTACATGAGATACACTGGTCTCCTCATGTAGTTGCTCCATATAGTCAAATATACATTCAGCAGTAAACAAACATGGCATTTTTTCCTCTTACAGATGTGTTACAGTCCATTTCAGAAATCGTGCCCAGCTTTACAAATCTGTAACATCTGTAAAACTATGTTCGATGTAAGTTATTGAAATCTGACAGGCCACCTGACATGTCCTTGTCAACATTTTTTTTAATGTGAAAGAACATCTAGTTTTTCATTTTGCCTTATTTGCGGTATATATAAAAACAGAGTTACTGATTCAAGGGAAATAATTATCATGCTTACTGTTAATTAAATAACAGCAACTTTAAAAAAAAACATCAAACTGCACGCATTTTATGGGTGATTAGCTCTCAGTTGGTTATCTTCAGCAAATAATTAACCTCCTGTGAGTTGTGGATTTTTCATTGTATGCAGGATAGGCTCTTAAAATAACCACCAGGCACCGCTGCACGTGTGAAATGATTTCCAAACAGTCTCCACGAGTGTGTCAAAAACTATAGTTATTTCTTAGAGGTACCCACATCATTAGTCAAACAAAGATCAAAGAAATTTACGTCAAGAAAACAGCAGTAGCTGGACAATCTTATTTTTCACCCCACTATGACACCCTACTAAGCGATAAACATCTGTGTCACCATTCAGATAAGGATCATCCGTGGAGAGATCACAGAAACCCAATTCAACCATTAGCTTATATTAGGGGCCCCCGGCAACAGCCAGTGTGGGGCTTCACAATAATGAAAAATCCATCCCACATGGGGACAGGGGTTATACTACCTGTATAATTGTAAATTATACATTAATAAGTACATGGCAAAGCTACGACCACATACAAAAATGTGTGCTGATTTGTACAGGAGTTTTCAAATTATTTGTTACAGTTGGAGGGCAGAACTTTTGAAAGGTACTGTAGTAGTCATGACTATCCACAACCTTCTGTCCCTTGTAAGCTCAATTATTTCTAACACAGATGATCTTCCATATGATGCTGTCACTGTCCAGCATCCTCTCTGTCTTTCTCTGTCTCTTTTGCCCTCCACATTTTCCACTGTCACAATGTATTCCAGCTTTCTCCTTCTCATAACATTACCAAAGAATTAGATTGTTTCCTTCAAATGTGGACAATAATTTCTGTTTGAAAGTCAGATTCTTTCAAGACATCGTCATTGCTGTTTTTCTTTTTAAATCTGTCCTGAATATTCTTATAATTTGTCTATAAAACCACATCTCCCTTGATTCCAAATAATTTTTCACTAATTGTCTATCTGCCCATGTCACTTCCGTTTATCAGGATAAGTATTATATAGCTCTTTAGAATACCCTTTCTTGTCTCAAATGAAAAAGAAATATTGTATAGATTATTCTTTACTTTGTGAACGCCACCTTTGCTTGAGCAACTTTAACTTCTCTAATTTATCTTTCATCTTCTATCATGGTACCCAAGTATTTAAACATACCAACCTGCTTGAGGATTATCTCAATAACTTTGATGCTGCATTCTGGTGGATCAGTTTCCTCTGTAACTACCACTACCTCTGTTTTTCTGCTGTTCTTCTTCTTCTTCTTCTTCGCGTTCACCAGCTGTACACTCTGGCGGAAAGTTCTGGTTGTTCGTCCACTACTGAACTGCAGTCCTGCTCCAGAACCTGAGTGTTGCATGTGCATCAGTTTTACAGATCTCATTCTCTTGAATACAGACTGTTGGTTCCTTGCCTCTCCGGCAGATGCACTCCGACTTCAAAGGAAGCTCCCCAATTAGTCGACTCTTACGACATGCTTCAGGGGAGGCAGTGGGTCTATTCTTGTTTTCCCCACAATGGGGCCCCGGAACCCATACTGGGGTTCTGCTGTTCAAACTAAGATCCTTATTTGAACTTTCCCCTAACATTATTTCTTGTAATTGTGTTTGATTTTCAGCTATCAAAACTACATTGTCAGCATACTACAGGTTGTTCACAATATGCTATAAGGCGTTAGGTAGCTTTTATACCCTTTACTGAACCCAGAGTCCAATTCTATGGCTAAGGAAATATTTTATTTGCCAATAAACTCAGCATCATCACCCTCATACACAGGTTCCTCGTAGTGGGGGCCTACACAGCGAAGGGCCGCAGCCAACTGGGGGCCCAAGATGTAGTGAATGGACAAGTCATTGAAGATGTCCTTGTGTGTGAAAGTGTTGTCCAGTTGTACTTCCGTCATATGTGGGCTCAGCTGAAAATATTTTTAAAAACAAACATTAATTATTAATATTATTATTGACCAGTTCAAATACCTTAGAGTGGTAACAGACTGAAAAGGAGTCATTAAGACAGAGCTGGCTACTCGAAAAGCAACATCTGGGAGACTTTCAGGCCATAAACTGAGGATTTCTGGGCATAATAGACATTAGCGAGAGAACAAAATAACTGTTTACTACTCTATCTGTGTGCCAGACCGGACCTACGAGTGTGAGTCATGGGCAATGACAACAGCTTCAATCCTCAGAAATAAGGTATCTGAGAAAAGTGGTCCAAGTGACAAGAAGGGACAAAGTTCGCAACTAGACAAATGTCATGACCTTGAAACCGCGGCCTTACAAACTCAAGTGGACCAGTCAGTTATGACAGTTTGGACATGTATGAAGAATGGGAGAGAACCGGTCACTGTGGCAGGCATGGGAGAGAACCAGTCACTGTGGCAGGCATGGGAGAGAACCGGTCACTGTGGCAAGAATGGCAGAGAACCGGTCACTGTGGCAGGCATGGGAGAGAACCAGTCACTGTGGCAAGAATGGCAGAGAACCGGTCACTGTGGCAGGCATGGCAGAGAACCGGTCACTGTGGCAAGAATGGCAAAGAACCGGTCACTGTGGTAAGAATGGCAGAGAACCGGTCACTGTGGCAGGCATGAGAGAGAACCGGTCACTGTGACAGGCATGGGAGAGAACCGGTCACTGTGACAGGCATGGGAGAAAACCGGTCACTGTGGCAGGCATGGGAGAGAACCGGTCACTGTGGCAGGCATGGGAGAGAACCGGTCACTGTGGCAGGCATGGGAGAGAACCGGTCACTGTGGCAGGTATAGAACACCAAGAATCAGACCTCTTTTGTTCGCTAGAAAGAAAGACAACATCTGGAAGTCCCTGACAGACAGAGGACTGGAATGTCCCTGACAGACAGAGGACTGGAATGTCCCTGACTGACAGAGGACTGGAATGTCCATGACTGACAGAGGACTGGAATATCCCTGACTGACAGAGAACTGGAATGTCCCTGACTGACAGAGGACTGGAATATCCCTGACTGACAGAGAACTGGAATGTACCTGACTGACAGAGGACTGGAATGTCCCTGACTGACAGGGGACTGGAATTTCCCTGACTGACAGAGGACTGGAATGTCCCTGACTGACAGATGACTGGAATTCCCCTGACTGACAGGGGATCAAAATGTCCTAGACTGATAGAGGACTGGAATGTCCTTGACTGACATAGGAACTGAAATGCAACAAAGTGAAAAAGAAAGCTGCAAATAGAGAAGTCTGGTGATCTCTCTGGCAAACCCCTACACCCCAGGGTAGAAGAGGAGTGACTAAGTAAGGAAGGAAGTATTAATAGCAGCGGGAGTACTCGTACAACTACAAATGGGCCCCTCAGCCGTTACTTATGAGCATTCTCTTGGAAAAGGCTCTACCTGAGATGCACTGCTATTTTCATGGAACTTTTCCATATAGTGGGAGTTGCCGTGGTGTAGCTAATAGATGCCTGCCTGCGGATCGGAAGGTCACGGGTTTGGGTGCTGACGGGCTAACCCGTTTTTTTTTTTTCAAAAACGACCTTGGCTCCCAGGTGGACCCAGCCTCGAGTGGGTACCGGGTATAGTCCTGGGAAGTAAAGGCAGCTGGCATGATGCTGACCATATAACACACCAAGTGCTGGCTGATCTTTAAAATTTAGGCCTAGCCCTATATGCCCAATACACCTGAAGGCGTAGAAAAGGGACCTTTACTTTCCATCCCCATAGGGACTCTTGAGGGATCTACATGGCAAAGTGGTCAAGCCGTTTGCCTCGCGCTCTGAAGGTCTTGGGTTAATTTCCCAGCAGGACTGTTCAATTCACGAGTGCAATTTTTCCACGGATTCCTGGGGGTCGTCACCAGAGCTATGGAGGTCATGCTCCGTGTGACCCTCTCGGCAGGCAGCTAGCTGTTCTGTGGAGAGAGACTGAGTCAAATGGGATCAAATCCGGTGCAATGAAGCAGATCCTCTCACTTTACTGTCCATATACTGTAATGGAATAGCTACAAGGTTCAACTAGCCTGATAGAAATGTGATTCCTCTCGCAGACTCTTCAGTTAAGTGATTTTTGTGTACTCTTTCTTGTTTGTGTCTGTGGTATTGTGCTGATGAAGGCTTTTTGAGCATAACATCAACTTGTCGGTTGGTGTTTGTGATGATGTGATGCTTGCTCGCTCTACTTTTCATTTGGTTAGATGTCTTGTCATGATACTACAGCTAACAGAAGTTTGTTCTAGCCAGTGGAGCACATGGTTAATCTCAGAACTCCATGCTAGATGTAAAGGAGAGACGAGACTTATGTTATCACAATCGACATCTTTGCACATTTGACATCCCGAGTGTGCTCAGTCCTCGCATGCAGCAATCACTCGAGGGTACCTCTACAGATTGTTGTTCTCATGAGGAGTTGGTTATAGTATCTCCTGTCTTTACCTCGAAGACGGCATAGACGCAGTCGTGTTAGTGCCAGAGATTCGTCATTATCCCCAGTCAGTTAACTCTTTCAGTCCGCAGCAGATCACAGCTGATGCCCGACTGAAGCGGTAATGACAACAACAAAAGCCTGGGTACACTGTACCCAGAGGGTCCATATACACAGCACATTGTGGGTGACTTGTGGGTTGATTTACTGAATGAATGAACGAATCAAAAATTGGCACCACTCCACGCAAGACATTCCCACACGTGCCCAGTCCCCTTCTTCAGTAGCCAACGAAGAGTCGACATGCTAATAGTACCAGTTACAACCTGATTAAAAGTCCGCCTTTGTTTCCCCTTCAGTGTTGAATATCTTCCAGAACTTCTACTCAAGCTGAATTAGTCAAATTCCACATGGCAGTAACCAAGAGAGCAAAAGCTCATGCGCCGCTGGATCGATAACAACAACAATTAGTTTTTCAGTTTATGGCTTCTTTGTCAGTTCTACTGCCCTGACTATTTGGATCCCAGAGTGTTTTCACCATGTCCATTTTATCAAAAAGTAGCTCACCACCCAGAGAAGTGGAAGCTATTTTAGTCAAATCAGTTTTCCTGACTGACCTTGAGATGTGTAAATATAAAAAAAAATTGTGACTGGTGCACTGAGTCATTTTCAGTAGACATGGTGCCTTGTTTAGGATTAAGAGAATTAAGAACCAACATACCAGCACTGGGAACTTTCCCATATGCACACCATACCCATCATAAGCCAGCAAAGAGTTCACATACTCTTAGTATCAGTGGCATGGGGAGATTTAGACTGCATGATAGCTTTCTCAAAGGCTACCGTCCTCCTGATATTAGTTTTCTCACACAAGGATCGAAGAAGAAGAAAGGCAATTTGATTGTGTGTCCATCTTTATCAACAGATATGTATACAGACAACTGTAGGAAGAGACAGATGCACAGACATATGTTAAAACAGACACATATACAAACAGAAACTTGTTCAAAAAAGACAAAATGTGTATAGATAAATGTCCAAAGGGGCAGATATATAAACATGCAAAGGTAAAAATAGATAAATGTAACCCAGTGATTTCCAAACTGTGTGCCGCAGTGCCTCAAAACCTCTTCACATACGCGCTGTAAAATATTCCAAGATACAAAAGTTTTTTTTCCCATCTCTTACATATCAATACTCATACTTTTACTTAGCTTAGAGCGCCGTGAAAAAAATTTTTAATTAAAAAAAGGTGCCGGGACTAAGGAAAGTTTGGGACAACTCTTATCTACACAACAATGGAAACTAACAATGTGTACACATATACAACAAATGGAAACTAACAATGTGTACCTGTACACAGCAATGGAAACTAACAATGTGTACCTGTGCACAACAATGGAAACTAACAATGTGTACAGGTACACAACAATGAAAACTAACAATGTGTACACGTATACAACAAATGGAAACTAACAATGAGTACACGTACACAAAAAATGGAAACTAACAATGAGTACACATACACAACAAATGGAAACTAACAATAAGTACACATACACAACAAATGAAAATTAACAATGTGTACCAGTACACAACAATGAAAACTAACAATGTGTACCTGTACACAACAAATGGAAACTGAAAATGAGTACACATACACAACAAATAGAAAATAACAAATGTATTCATGTACACAGCAAAAGAAAACTAACAATGAGCACACGTACACAACAAATGGAAACTAACAATGCGTACCTGTAAAAGATAATTTCCTGTCTTACTCAGGACCCTCTTCGGAGTTCTACAAAGAAAAAATGGTGGTATTTATTGTGTTATGTTATGTTATCACAGTCGACGTCTCTGCCCATTGGGCATTCCCATTTGTGCTCAATCCTCCAATGCAGCAACCACTCCCAGGTACCTCTACTGATTGTTCTGAGGAGAAGTTGGTTATAGTACCTCCTCTCTTGACCTTAAAGACCGCACAGATGTGATTTACAAAGCTTAACTCGTAGGTCATGCAACTGTGTTAGCGTCACAAATTCAACATTACCCCCAAATCAAGTAAATGTTGTGTGTATATGTTCATAACAGCTATAGTCAAAGCATGTATGTGAAAGTGGCTGCTTGAGTATGTGTGTGCGCACAGAACATGCAGGCATTCATATGTGTATGAACACTGACAGCATACAGACTGAAAGAGAGAGAGTCAGACATACAGAAAGAGAGAGAGATAGACAGAGAGACACATACACACAGATAGAGATAGGCAGTGAGAGAGAAAGACAGCGAGAGAGAGAGAGAGATAGACAGAGAGAGAGAGATAGATACACACACACACACACACACACAGAGATACACACACACAGACAGACACAGAGAGAGAGAGAGAGACTGACACGGCCAGGTATAAACTACAGTCCTTTATGAGTAAGAACCTAAATCTCGCTTAAAGCAACACCATCAGTCCATGTTTTGATCACCCAAGAAGAACAGATGACAAAAGAAGACACACTAACACACTCTCCCTTCACATGGGTTCTGGGGCTCCGTGGTGGGGGAAAAAAGACTATACCCGCTGACTCCATAACAAGCATGTCATAAGAGTTGACTAATTAGGGGTTCCCAAAGTTGTAGTGCGTTTGCTGGAGAGGCAAGGAACCAACAGTCTGCATACAAACAAGCCAGATGCATAAAACAGGAGTGCACGCAAGTTTTGGAACAAGACTAAAGTCCAGAAGTGGACAAACAACCAGAATGGAGTTCACAATTGATGAACACAAAGAAGAAAAAGAAGAAGACGAAGATCAAGAAGAAGATGAAAAAGAAAAGAAGAGAAGAAGAAGAAGAAGAAGAAAGAAGAAGAAGAAGAAACACACTCACCTCTCAAGTATATTAGAGAAACTATTTCCGATGAGCACCAGAAGAGACAAGCCCTGGCTGTTATTTGTGGCTAAGTTCCTCCACAGCAGATTGTTGTATAAGGCCTTCCCACAGTGTGGCAGAAATGCAAGTGTGGGTTTTGTACACTCCCGCTTCCCTTCCTGTGAAAGCGTGAATTGAAAAATAAAAACTGTGGGTCAGCATATCAAGAATAAGGGAGCCACCGTGATGTAGTGGCTAGATGCTCGCCCTTAGAAAGCTGCTGAAAATCAAATGGCAAGATAGGATCCCAAATACTATGATTTGATTCTTGATAGGGCGAACCTGCCTAGCATCCACACAATACTAAAGAATTATCAGCTGTGTTGGCTGGTCATCTAGCCCGCATGCCATACTATAGCCTCCCAAAGAGAGTATTTTATGGCGACCTCCAGCAAGAGAAGAGCTCCAAGGGAGGACAGAAAAAACACACGCTTTAAGGCCAGTCTTAAAACTTTTTAATTCTTCTGGCATCAACACAACGACGTGGAAGGCTGCTGCACAAGATCGTTAAGGATGGCCTGCATACCACAGGCATGAAGCATCAGCCTGCCAGGCAGCAGAGGTTGCACAGGTAAAGAAACGAAGGCAGGCTAGAAAGAACTGTATCGCTAATCCCACACTTACTGCGACTTCCACCTGTTGTCCGCACTGCTCAAGAACTTTCCAGGCTCATATTGGACTAATCAGCCAGCTTTGCATTCATAATTATTGATCATTACTAGTAATTTTCAAAGTCCATGCCGTGTGGCATTGGCAGTTATGTCTATCCACAACCTCGTGTACTTTCAATAAACTCAGACACAGATGATCCTCCATGTCATAATGTCCAGCATCTTGTCTCTTAGTCTCGCTCTGCCTCTCTTCCGCTCTAACTGCCCCCATGTACTCCAGTTGTCTGGATTATGACTACTTTGAATGAAAAGTGGTCTTCATCCCTCGTGATGGACAAACAACCAGAAGATGCTTGCCTGCATATCCAAAGGTTGCTGGATTTCTTCTAACATGACTTTGGCTCTTGGGTTTAAACCAACCACAAATGGGTACTGGCTGTAGTCCTGGGCAGAAAAAGCGGCCAGCATGATACTGACCACATCAACCATCGAAGGCCGACTGGTTTTTTTCAAATACAAGTCTAGCCCTATATGCCCACTTTGCCACTAGCATGTAAAGGAACCTTTATTTTACTTACGCGACAAGAACAGGGTGTCCCTAAATTCCGGATACATCGGAAATAAATTGTGACTGTGCTAAAACTACATTGAGTGCAAGTCAATTTTGCAAAGCACATCAACCTTTGCATCGCAAATGACTGAAATTCTTCTTTTTCTTTTTTCATTTTCTTGAAACAGATTATCTATATCTGCAATGCTGTCTCTAGTATAAACTTTATTGTCTTTTTTAATTCACTCGGCGACCAATAATGGGTTCTACTATGAATGAAACCATACTGAAAATGTTATTTAATATTCAAAGTGAATATAATGTTAATAAATTTGATTTCCTGAAAATATGATGTATTTTTGCATATTTATCAGCAACTATCCAACTTCTTTAGTTTTCACCATTAAAAGAGCATTCAGTACATTCAAGCCTGGCAAGAATCATTCAACACTCAGCGGCTTCAATCTGCACCCCTGGGTGATGAATAGATACACGACAAGGCAGATGTGGTCAAGGCCCTGTGAGAACAAGCAACAGAATCAGTAGAGAAACAAGATTATTATAGCCTGGAGACAATAAGGCACTTGGGTGTAACCAGGAGGCCTAGTTGGCTCACTACACTCAGGGCTCACTACACTCAGGGCTCACTACACTCAGGGCTCACTACACTCACTACACTCAGGGCTCACTACACTCAGGGCTCACTACACTCACTATACTCAGGGCTCACTACACTCAGGGCTCACTACACTCAGGGCTCACTACACTCACTACACTCAGGGCTCACTACACTCACTATACTCAGGGCTCACTAAACTCACGGCTCACTACACTCACTATACTCAGGGCTCACTACACTCAGGGCTCACTACACTCACTACACTCAGGGCTCACTACACTCACTACACCCAGGGCTCACTACACTCAGGGCTCACTACACTCACTATACTCAGGGCTCACTACACTCACTATACTCAGGGCTCACTACACTCACTATACTCAGGGCTCACTACACTCACTATACTCAGGGCTCACTACACTCACTATACTCAGGGCTCACTACACTCACTACACTCAGGGCTCACTACACTCACTACACTCAGGGCTCACTACACTCAGGGCTCACTACACTCACTACACTCAGGGCTCACTACACTCACTATACTCAGGGCTCACTACACTCACTACACTCAGGGCTCACTACACTCAGGGCTCACAACACTCACTACACTCAGGGCTCACTACACTCACTACACTCAGGGCTCACTACACTCAGGGCTCACTACACTCAGGGCTCACTACACTCAGGGCTCACTACACTCAGGGCTCACTACACCCAGGGCTCACTACACTCACTATACTCAGGGCTCACTACACTCACTACACTCAGGGCTCACTACACTCAGGGCTCACTACACTCACTACACTCAGGGCTCACTACACTCAGGGCTCACTACACTCAGGGCTCACTACACTCAGGGCTCACTACACTCAGGGCTCACTACACTCAGGGCTCACTACACTCACTACACTCAGGGCTCACTACACTCACTACACTCAGGGCTCACTACACTCAGGGCTCACTACACTCAGGGCTCACTACACTCACTACACTCAGGGCTCACTACACTCACTACACTCACGGCTCACTACACTCAGGGCTCACTACACTCAGGGCTCACTACACTCACTACACTCAGGGCTCACTACACTCAGGGCTCACTACACTCACTACACTCAGGGCTCACTACACTCACTACACTCAGGGCTCACTACACTCACTACACTCAGGGCTCACTACACTCACTACACTCAGGGCTCACTACACTCACTACACTCAGAGCTCACTACACTCAGGGCTCACTACACTCACGGCTCACTACACTCACTACACTAAGGGCTCACTACACTCACTACACTCAGGGCTCACTACACTCAGGGCTCACTACACTCACTACACTCAGGGCTCACTACACTCACTACACTCACGGCTCACTACACTCAGGGCTCACTACACTCACGGCTCACTACACTCAGGGCTCACTACACTCAGGGCTCACTACACTCAGGGCTCACTACACTCACGGCTCACTACACTCAGGGCTCACTAAACTCACGGCTCACTACACTCACTACACTCAGGGCTCACTACACTCAGGGCTCACTACACTCAGGGCTCACTACACTCACTACACTCAGGGCTCACTACACTCACTACACTCAGGGCTCACTACACTCACTACACTCAGGGCTCACTACACTCAGGGTTCACTACACTCACTACACTCAGGGCTCACTACACTCAATACACTCAGGGCTCACTACACTCAGGGCTCACTACACTCACTACACTCAGGGCTCACTACACTCACTACACTCAGAGCTCACTACACTCAGGGCTCACTAAACTCAGAGGAAAGGAAAGACAGACATATAACCAGATTGTGACAGGTACTGGAACTCTGCATTGGCTGCTGAAGATGACGACGGAGCATGCATGGGAATGCACCGAGTGCTGTGATGTCAATTCTTGTCACTACAACTCGTTACATTGTATTATGACTTGCAGATAGGTTGTGTTAAGGCTGTGTTATCGATACATCGATGTTATCGATGATTTCATAATCGTTCAAATCTTAAGACCAAGAAGCAATGGGTCCATTCTTTGTTTTTCTCATAAAATGGGGCTCTGGAATCCAAACAGCAAAGCAGGTCACAAAGCTGAAGGTACAGCAGCAAAAACTGTCACAAGCTAAATACTACATAATAGATGGTGTGGGGAAAAGCCTTCATCATCAATTTCTCCCCAAAACATAAACTGCACCAACACTATATATATATATATATATATATATATATATATATATATATATATATCATCATCATGTGCCCTGCCAACTGGCAAAGGTGCTCATGCACCTCCTCAGATCACGATCTCTGGTTGACTAGAACAGCTCTCTTGATGATACCCCTCCATGCCATCGTTTCAGCCCAACCAGCATCCTCTTGGTCTGCCTCTATCCCTTTTTCAACTGATCTTTCCTTTTGTTACGATGTTCTCTAATGTATCTCTTCCCATTATGTGGCCAAAGATCAGTGTTTGTCTTTTTCTTTATATATATATATATATATATATTTATATATATATATATATATATATATATATATATATATATATATATATATATATATATATATATATATATATATATATATACACACACACACATACACATACAGAGAGAGAGAGTGTGACAGAGAGAGAGAGAGAGAGAGAGAGAGACGTGGATGGCAGGCATAAGATCTAAGAGTAGACATACAGACATATAGGCTTAGATATAGATTAGACTTGCATATGGACAGGCAGAGATAGTTAGACAGACTGATAGATAAACAGACAGGCAGACACACTAATAGATTAGATAGACAGACAGGAAAACTGACAAACAGATTTTACCCAGTTCTCCTATCTGCAATGAAAAAAACACAACATCCTTAAACCCATTTTCCCAAAGCAAATTGACAGTACGTACCTCATTTTCGGATATCACTTGACAATTATAAGATTCTAGGACCAACTTCTCCTGGTTCGAAAACACTGGATCATAAACACAACATTCTTTACACCTCTCCTGAAAGCAAATCATGAGACGATAAAAGAAGTGAGATAAATCATCACCATCAAGTGCCTCGCCGACTGGCCATGCCACTTATCCTGCATTTTCAACATAACCTGTCAGTTGTTGTGCTGACACCCCTCCACGCCATGACAAAAGACCGTCAAGAATCTTCGTATGTTGTCTTCCTCAATCTCTCTTTCTGCAAAGTGGAAGCATGAATCATTATGGTCTGGAGAGAAATGGCGCAGCTAGGAGTGACTAGGGGATCTGGTCAACACTGTACTTTGGATATTTTCTCCAGGCCATGCCCGTGTGGTGGATAATAAACAGGCAGACAGAATGGCTGGATCTGCACTACTGGGTGGTGAATTGATACATGACAAGGCAGATGTGATCAAGGCCCTTCGGGAACAAGCAACGGAATTAGTAGAGAAACAAGATTATTAAGGCCTGGAGAGAACGAGGCACCTGGGTGTAACCAGAAGGTCTGGCTGGCTCACTACACTCTGAGGAAAGGCAAGACAGACATATAACCAGATTGTGATCGGCACCATCAGTATTGGAACTCTGATTGTGAGCAGTACCATCAGTATTGGAACTCTCTGCTGGCTGTTGGAGATAAGGACGGAGCATACATGGGAATCCTCCGAGTGCTGTGATGTCAATTCTTGACTCAACTCAACCCAACTCTGGTCGACACTGTACACTCAGAGGAAAAGCAGGTCTTCTGCTGGCACCATCGAAAGTATAACTCTTCACTGGCTGCTGAAGATGAGGTCTTCTTATAATTTAGCTAAAAATTGATGACTATCTCCTTTTGTTTTAAATAACTTGTCTTTAAGCACCTGCCTCTTTCAAGACACCTGGGTCACTCATCTTGGCTGTTCAAGGAATTGTAAGCATTATTCTAAAAAAAAAAAAATCCTGAGTAAAGTATAGGTAAGTAAAGGTCCCTTTTCAACACCTTTAGGCATATAGGGCTAGACCTATATTTTTATAAACCAATAGGGACAAGATGGGTGATATGGTCAGCATCCTGCCAGCCACCTTTACTTCCTGGGACTTACCCGGTATCCACTCAAGGTTAGGTCGATCTGGGACTCACCCGGTACCCACTCAAGGTTAGGTCGATCTGGGACTCACCCAGTACCCACTCAAGGTTAGGTCGATCTGGGACTCACCCGGTACCCACTCAAGGTTAGGTCGATCTGGGAGTCGTCATTTTAAAAAAAGTCCAGCTCTGCCATGGAGCGAACTTGTGACCTTCCGATCTGCACGAGAGCGTCTAGCCGCTACGCCACGGCGACTCCCCACATTACTGAGGCCCCACAAAATTATTTTGTTTGTTTAATATAGTCCGTTTTCTAATTACTTGTCCCGGGAACGTGATTTATTTCACATGGGCTCCTATTTTCATCTCAACGTTAATGTTTTATTCAAATTATCCCCCTTAACATTCAAATAGTCCCCCTTAACAATCAAACTGCTCCCATCTTTCCCTTAACTATCAAATTGTCCCCCTTAAAATTAAACTGCTCATCTCAATAATCAAACTGTCACCCTTAACAAACAATGAAATTGCCCCCTTAACAAACAATCAAATCGTCCCCCTGTGGCACGTGGGCCCCACATTAGGAAACACTGATTTATGCTTACAGTAAATCAATCAAATCAATTTACCCCAAATATTTTCCTAATTGCCAGCAGAAATGCCAACTGGTATCTGGCCGTTACACAGCTGAGAAAACTACCAATTCCGTAACTTAAAATCTGGATGTCTTCTTGGTGATCAGATAGGGATAAGAGTTCTACAGATGTTGTCACGTCATCAAGGTCTGGACTGTTTGTCTGGATTGCCTCAGGCACAGGATGATGTTGATGATGAAGGTTACTGGAGGTGGTACATGTCAAACTGCTGGAGTCAGTTGTGTGGATCTTTGCATCTGTGGGCAAAATGTGCGAGAAAGCTATCAATGAAGGTTCAACCCTTTCACCATGAGAACACAGAAACCCAAACAAACACACACGCGTAAAAACCCAAACAAAAACATACACACTCACAGATCATGACTCCATTATGACAGCAACAGGCCGTATGCGCTCTGAATTGGTAGAAAGCATTCGAAAATCGCACTCAACCTCCGTTACCTGGATCTACACACCTGGTCATGCAGACTTAAAGGGTAATGAGTTAGCAAACCAACTAGCAAGCAATGCATCAACACATGTGGGAAGAAGCATGGACAGAGCAGATATCATCAACGCTGCACGGACAGGGCTAGTGGATAGTGACAAACCTCTTACACTAACACGACTGTGTGACATGGGAGTAAAGCATTGTAAAGCACGTCTACGCCGCCTAGAGGCCGGAATAGGAATCATTACCAACCTCTCATGGGAACAATCAGTAGAAATACCTTGAAGTGGTTGCTGCATCAGAGGATTGAGCATGCATGGGAAAGCCCAATGTGCAGTAACGCCGATTATGATAACATAACATATGACCCCATTATAATTCAAGATATAATCTGTAAAACAAAGCAACAGTTTTACACAGACCTCTAATAAATGTGTTTAAAATGTATTATCTACACACACACACCCCCCCCCCCCCCTCTCTCCCCCCGTTAAAATATATAAAGATATATGAAAAAGCCTCCAAAAACACAAAGAGGGTGGAACAATAAATGGAATACATCTCCAGGGGTGCAAAAAAAAAAAAAACCCACACCAACCTATGTATTGGGCACCTCATGCCATGACCTCATGACCTTTATTAATGAGGCTTACAGGAAAACTGCCTTTAACTGTCTTTAAAAAAGCATTAAGCTCAAAGGAATCTCCCTAACCCTAATGATACTGTTAGTTGATCTATTCATATCCTGCCTTCTAAATGTTTGTGCTAGTGCAAACATAGCCAATAGCATTATCTATGTGTCTTGCAAACAGATCCCTATAGACAAGTCCTAAAAGTGACATTTACGGGAAACTGGACCCAACAGGAAGTAGCGGTTTTGCAGCAAGTGAAGCATGCTTGCCCTTACCTTGCTCAACATGCTTTCCGAAACAGTTACAATCAGGATGTGTGTGTGTGTGTGTGTATGTGTGTTGTGTTTTCCAGCCAGCAGAAAGCTGCAGTGACCCCCTCCACCTCCATTCTTAGACTGGATGTTGTGGTATCATACAATAGGCTCTTCAGCACCAAATGTCTTCCACTGGCTTTTGCTAAGAACCCCCAAGCACTTTTTTTGACCTTTTGACACTGAACCGTCTGTATAAATAATTACATCCTCTGAAAAAAAAAAACCCACAGACCACAGAAAAAAAATCCTAGCCAGTTAACATGTTCAGTCCCACATACAGTTTTAGGTTCCTCCCTAGAAACTGAATTAATGCAATATGTGCCGATTTTATGTCTCTCTTAACGATCCCTTGGATCTCTGATGCTAAACCTCCCTGGGACAGAAAAAGTTAAAGCTGTGAAAGGGATTTTTCATCATCATCATCATCCCTTTGCAGAACGTCGCTCTCATCTTGGTCTGCATGAAAGAAACTAGGTCTATCGCCAGCTCTTCCGCCACATGCGCTCTCATATTCAAGGAGTTACTTATATCCTGTGCCCATCTTCGTGTTGTTTGGCCCCTCCTTCCTGGTATCATGCCCTGTGCTATTATTTTTTCCAAACCACTGTGACGCTTGACATGACCAAAATAGTTCAGCTTTTGAGACAAGATGTTTTTTTGTTTTTAGCCAATCTTCCCTGGGTCTCCGATGCTTAAACCCCCTAAGACCGAGTTTAAGCTGTGAACGAAGATTGTTAATTTTGTAAAAAGTAAGTAAAGGAGTCTTTTCGTTCAAAGGAAAAATCACAAATACGGAGCTTGAGCCATATTTTCAGAGACTTATCAGCATTGGATGGTAGATGCAATCTTCTTCTTCTTTTCTCCACTCTTGGAATGCCTTGCGGCATCAGGGTAGGAAGAAATCTTTGAAACGGGCCTTCTATTCGCTTTATATAAAGTCATTTTCAGTGTCTCTGATATTTCTGTGGTCCATCTTCTATGTGATCATCCTCTGGCTCTATTACCATTGTATATGTATAACAATGCTCTCTGTGGTGCCCTGTCGGATGCCAATCTTGTTACATGGCCAAATCATTTGATTTGTTGTCTACCTATAAAGTTTGGTACTGGTTTTGTGCCGACTCTCCTCCTGATATCATCGTTCCTAAGTTGATCTTTCCTCATTTCACCTAGCATAGTATAGAAACATTTCATTTCTGTTCTAATGTGGTCAACATCTCACAATGAGAAGGCTGGACCCCAAAAGAGAATAGTCACAGAAAGAGACCAAGCAAATTGGAAGCTACTTGGCAATTTGGCATCATGGCATAGAGCAGCGGTTCTCAACCTGTGGGTCGCGACTGGATTTACTAAAAGAAAATGACCAAGACTAAACTTTTTTCTGCCTCTTCCTCCAGTTTTTTATGATAAAGTGTCAGAGGATTATAATGATGCCCTTTAAAAACATTTTAAAGGGGGAAAAAAATCACTTTTTTAAAAGATTCTTACAGGGCAAAAAGGTTAACGATTTAGATTTCATAAAACAATTAAGAGAGAGAGAGAGAGAGAGAGAGAGAGAGAGAGAGAGAGAGAGAGAGAGAGAGAGAAGAGAGAGAGAGAGAGAGAGAGAGAGAGAGAGAGAGAGAGAGAGAGAGAGAGAGAGAGAGAGAGAGAGAGAATACAAACCAACAGGGATGAGACCATGATGTGACATTTCCTGAACTTTTGCCCTCTCCCAGCTGTTAGATGATGTTGTATTTTGAGAAATTAACAGTACTGAAGATATGATTTTCTCTGTGAAAAATATATAAAACATGAATTAATTTAATTTGTTCCCTTGCTTTAGTCTTACACACTTACCTAGCTGATCCTCTTCTATCCTAGGGTGTAAAGGTTTGCCAGAGAGATCGCCAGACGTCTCTGTCAGCAGTTTCCTTTCTGGATTTGTTCCATTCCAGTCTTTTGTCAGTAACAGAATGTAATATATTGTCTTCCCAGCAAACCCTGGGTCTACCACTGGCTCGCTGACAGATGACTTCGTCGCCGGTCGGGACAGTATTTGGGTTTGTCTTCTCTGATCACATCAACACTGCAAAAGTTATTTTCGGTGCTTCTTGGTGGCGAGCAATGCTAAACCATTTTATCTAGCACACATAACCTAGTCACAATTATAACTTAAAGCTCCACATAAGGCATGCTGGTTGAATGTGACTTTTTGTGTGTGCAAAGCAAGCTAACCCTGGGCCACTTGGTGGTCAGGTTCCCTGTTTCTTAGCCTCCCATGCCTGCCGTGGTGGCTGATTGTCCCCCTTTCTGCAAACAATATCCAATCCAGCATAACTGTATCTGATCCACTCAAATTTGTAAGGCCTGGGTTTCAGGATCATGACTGTTTCACTTTGATTTGTTCCACTGCTTTCATTAATACAGTTTTTAAAGCTTCACTCAGTTTGTTCCACTGCTCTCATTAATACAATTTGTAAATCTTCACTCAGTTTGTTCCACTGCTTTCATTAATACAATTTGTAAAGCTTCACTCAGTTTGTTCCACTGCTTTCATTAATATAATTTTTAAAGCTTCACTCAGTTTGTTCCACTGCTTTCATTAATACAATTTGTAAAGCTTCACTCAGTTTGTTCCACTGCTTTCATTAATATAATTTTTAAAGCTTCACTCAGTTTGTTTCACTGCTTTCATTAATATAATTTTTAAAGCTTCACTCAGTTTGTTCCACTGCTTTCATTAATATAATTTTTAAAGCTTCACTCAGTTTGTTCTACTGCTTTCATTAATATAATTTTTAAAGCTTCACTCAGTTTGTTCCACTGCTTTCATTAATATAATTTTTAAAGCTTCACTCAGTTTGTTCCACTGCTTTCATTAATACAATTTTTAAAGCTTCACTCAGTTTGTTCCACTGCTTTCATTAATATAAATTTTAAAGCTTCACTCAGTTTGTTCCACTGCTTTCATTAATATAATTTTTAAAGCTTCACTCAGTTTGTTCCACTGCTTTCATTAATACAATTTTTAAAGCTTCACTCAGTTTGTTCCACTGCTTTCATTAATATAATTTTTAAAGCTTCACTCAGTTTGTTCCACTGCTTTCATTAATATAATTTTTAAAGCTTCACTCAGTTTGGTCAACTGCTTTCATTAATATAATTTTTAAAGCTTCACTCAGTTTGGTCAACTGCTTTCATTAATATAATTTTTAAAGCTTCACTCAGTTTATTCTACTGCTTTCATTAATATAATGTTTAAAGCTTCACTCAGTTTGTTCCACTGCTTTCATTAATACAATTTTTAAAGCTTCACTCAGTTTATTCCACTGCTTTCATTAATACAATTTTTAAAGCTTCACTCAGTTTATTCCACTGCTCTCATTAATACAATTTTTAAAGCTTCACTCAGTTTGTTCCACTGCTTTCATTAATATAATTTTTAAAACTTCACTCAGTTTGTTCCACTGCTTTCATTAATATAATTTTTAAAGCTTCACTCGGTTTGTTCCACTGCTTTTATGAATAATACTTTTTAAAAGCATCACTTCACATTTTTCTCCCCATTTATGACTCCTCTCAAGCCTTAAAGACTTGCTTGTTAAGGGGCTTTTCCCCCTCCCCCCACACGCCCTAATAGGGTTCTGGAACCCACGGAGGGAACATCTTTCAGTAAACAGCAAGACAATTCAAAAATGTCTAAAGACTGTCACAAGAAATGTTGAAGCCCCTGAATGCAGTGTAATCTTTTTCTTCTTGGCATTCACTGCTGTGAACTCCGGCAGAAAGTTCTGGTTGTTTATCCACCTCCAGACTTTAGACACGTTCCAGAACATGAAGGTTGCACGCACATCCTTTTTACAGATCTGACTTATTTGTATGCAGACTGTTGGTTCCTTTCCTCTTAGGCAGATGCACTTTGAAGGAAACCCTCAATCAGTCAACTCTTAAGACATGCTGCTTGGGAAAGCAGTGGGTCTATTCTTGTTTTCCCCATAACTGGGCTCCAGAACCCACACAGGGAGCAGTGTAATAGTTTTTGGGACTTACCAATATTAGTAGAGAAAAACTGAGTCTTTGAAATTTCTTGGCTGGGAAAAGAAAACAATTAAATAAAGTTATCATCTATAGAATGTGCAGTCCTTTGTGGGTAAGGAGTCTTATAGGTTGGGTATATGATGCTAAACATATTTTCAGAGATTATTCGTACTCAATGGATACGTCGATACTAGCATCTGATTTTTGTATAGACCCCAAACAGCATTCAGTGGATACATCCATGTAAGCGTCTGATTTCTGTATAAACCCCAAACAGCACTCAATGGACACATCTGTGTAGGCATCTGATTTTTGCATAGAACCAAAGCAGCACTCAATGAATAAGTCCATGTTAGCATCTGATTTTTGTATAGACCCCAAGCAGCACTCAATGGATAGGTTCATGCAAGCCATTGGCAGCGATGTCATTAATGCCATGCCAGCAGCATATCATAAAGAATATCACAACAACAAGAAAGACCCAGTATCCTTGTCCCGGTTGGTGGGCACGGGGCTGCAGCCTAGAGCAGCCAAACATGAACATTTCACCAAGGACATAAGATGTCAAGTTAATCAATTCAGAAGGGTCACAGCACTCTGGTGGAGCTACTGAGGACAAGATTGGAGCACCTTTGGATCTTACCAGAGTGCTGAGATGGTATTCCTCAATAATCACTATCTCCTTGAACTGCTGCTTGAAAAGTCTGATACCATGTGATCAGATCTCAGTCTGGATGGCAGACCAAGAGGTTCTAAAGGATTGACGCCATAAGATTAAAAGTTTCAGTGCTAGCGGCAGACCTGTAGGACAAGCTCACAGAGCTTCTTCAACGTCCAATTGGGGCATCCGTAACGGCCATACTAGCCAAATTTAAATGAAAATCCTGTAAGGGTTTGTATTGTTTTTGTCTCAGGTGCCAGTCCACATGTGCACATGGCTAATTCACCAATCTTAAATTCTGTGCACACATGGCTGCAAAGTCGATTGTGCCCTGTTCTAAGATACAGAATAATGACTGGCTCTGGTCTGTCCATAATATGGTAATAATTTTGTGCCAGTTTTGGCGGTTTTCTGACTGACTTCTTTATTCTCTTCTTCTGTTGACAAGAGACGGGTATGTCAGGTTGTTCTTCATTTGCACCTTCCTTAGCTAGTTTATCAGCTCTTTCATTTCCGGGAACTAAAAAGCGGGACGTTATCCACTGCATAGTTACCTTACACCGCTTGCCTAGTTCAATTAGTAGTGTGCATATACCTGTTAATTTTCCAAATTGGATTACCTGAAGTACTGCTTTTGCATCTGTGTGTAGTAGTAAGTTAAGCTGTATTTCCCCAAGTATAAGATGTACATGATGCTTCCATGTATAAAACACATCTCCATTTTGGGACCAGACATTTTGAGAAACAAATAATAATATACTACCACTGTACTGACCAGGGGTTCTCAAACTTTTTTCTCCGCAGCACCCTTGTCGGGTTTTAAAAAAATGTTGCCCTTAAAGCGGGTTGAATACTTAGGAAAAAACGAAAAAAAGAAAAAAGTGTTGCAAATTTACTGTTCAGTTATCTTTTATGCGATGACACGAACAAAATTTGCCTTTCATTCCTCATTTGTTCAGCTTTTACGCACCCATATATTCTCGCTAGCAATATCTTCAAATCTGATTTGGAATGAAAAATTGCAGGATCACACACACACACATGCACGCACACACGCATACACTGAAAAATAGCACCTAAAGAACACATTACCTATAAATAAGTACTTACTTGATCAGGCTAACAGTTACAGACATACTGACTAAATTTTCCACCTTAAAATTTCCCTCAAAATTCAACCACAACTTTACTTATCAACTGCAGCTTAACAAATTCAGGTAGAGGATCAGTCTCCCCTCGAAATAAATACTAGGACAATTCTAAGCACGCTGCGAATAACACTTTATGCAATACAAAACACGTCTAAGTGTAAAACAAATATTAAATGCTTTACAACAGGGAGGAGAGAAGAACTTACATTTTAACTTTCAAGAATCAGCATGCTTTCTTTTAAAACTTAAAAATTTCTAGCCGACTTTTCTTGATTATTGCTGCAGGCACCCTTTGCATACTCTCGCGTCACCCCAGGGTGCTGCGGCACCCAGTTTGAGAACCTCTGGTATAGATGTATTTTCAATTCTGATGTTATTTCAGTTTTAACATTTACCAGTAAAAGTTTAAGAACCACTAAAGACATGGAGTGAAAGTTAAATGAATTCAAAAACAAAATGTCTGAGGAAAATGATGAAAATAAAATGAGATGAATTCAAACGGAGTAAAGAGATAAGAGAAACATCTGGGCAACCACTAGTAATAACAGTTATAAGACAGAGAAAATGGCGCTACATTGGACACATCCTGTGAAGAAACCAGCAGAGAATCACCAAACAGCCATTATAATAGGAAATAAAGGAAGTAAGGATAAGAGGATGCCCAAAAGAAACTCAGCAATCTTTGCAATGGCGACCTTAGGGTCACTCAATCTACTGTAAGTTAACTCTTTGAGTCCCAGGGGGTTTAGCATCACAGGCCCAATGGGTAGTAAAGAGAGACTAAAATCGACACATCATGTGTTCATTGGGCTTTTAGGTAAGAACCCATGAACGTAGGATGCGTTCCCTGGGACTCATTTACTGTAAGTGCCCACTCTAGGGGACGTAATCCAATGTTTGTATAAATGATAAGCTCACATAATAAATAATACTTTTCTTTCATATTTATTTTAATATTGTTTGAGATTAGAGTTAGGGAAGCCTACCGAACGCAATAACCCTAATGTCTAGTAACGTGAAGCAATATTAAATATTACAGAATATTATTATGTGAACACACACAAGTAAAAGATTGTCTCCCTTATGGTCTCTGTAACCAACCACTGATTGCTTCCCGCTAGGGTCGAAGCTGAAAGGAGTGCCATAAACCTTATGAATACGAATACTGATGAGAGACGTTAAACTAAAGCTTCCATCCATGAAACTCAACTACTGACTGAGACTGCACAGAGAGGACAAGAATGGTGGAATCGACTGTGAGCCCTGTCCGACATATAATGGCACAGCATGATGATGAGTGAATAGACTTTATAGACACATACAAATTTTAGACTCTATATTTTTGGTCTTACTTTAGTACTTAATGTTCATTGAAGTGAAAGAAGACATAGCGGTCGTCCCCATGTGTGATGCAATTTTTGGCTATCCTCCGAATAACTGTCCCAAATTATCAAGGCCGAAAACATACTCTAACAGGGCCTCAGTCACATGTAAATTGCGGTCTTTCGCCAACTTAAACTGCGCACTATCGGCGACTACCGCTGGGACTCATGAGCAAATAAAATGAAGGAAGCCGCAGGAGATGCGGTAGCTGCTGCTCGTGAGTCCCAGGCATTTAGTTTAGCCCGGCTCAACGTGGGAGATAATCTCTGCGGTGGCGGTAGTCGCCGGAAGTGCGCAACTTGAGTCGCCCGAAGTCCGCAATTTACATGTGACTGAGTACCTGTTAGGGTATATTTTTGGCTTCGATAATTTGGAATCATTATTCGGAGGATAGCCCAATTTTTCGTTATTTGAAGCCCCATTTTGGCTTTTGCCGGGGACTCCAATAAATGAAACATAGTCGGGCCCTAAATATGGCCTAAACCGTCAAACAGGGTTTCCGGGACCTCTCCACGGTTGATCCTCATTTGCATGGTGGCACTTTGTGTCACCAGGTGTTTATCGCTTGTGTGATGTCCTGGTGGGGTACAACTTACACACCTATCTAGAAGTAGAAGACATGACATAGTATTAAAGTATTGTATTGGCTCTCCTCTAAATAACGGTCGCTAGCTGGAAGGGCGATGGTCGCTTAGTCGGAGTTCACTCCCTTGTCTGCAGTGCAAATACGGAGTGGTAAAGAGGGAACGACACAAATGACATACCTACCTGTCATGCTACAGTTGCTTAGGGTTAGGTTAGGCTTAGGGTTTGGGGTAGGGTTAGGGGTAGGGTTAGGGTTTGGGTTAGGTAACACATGTAGCGTCGAGTACTTACCCATAATAACGGCCGCTATATGTGAAAATTTTGAGTTCCAAATAATGGCCGACAATAAGTCTCCTAAATATGACGGCAATAGCGCGCGGCTAGTGCCCAATTGATGGCGACTGCCGACTTGTCCGTTTGAGTAGCATCCACAATGTTTTTGATTCGTGACTTGTCCACTCCGTATTTGCACTGCAGCCAAGGGAGTGAACTCCGACTAAGCGACCGTCGCCTTCCAGCTAGCGACCGTTATAATAATTGATCGCCTAGACTACCTACCTACATTTTAATAAATAATACATTACTTTGGCTCTCCTTTAAATAACGGTTATTTAAAGGAGAGCCAAAGTTAGTAATGTACTATTCATTATATTAAAATGTAGGTAGGTAGCTAGGCGATCAATTATCTAAAGTAGAAATGAGTTTAATACTTACATACAACTATCTAATCGCCTTCTAAAGTCTTGCAAATTAAAGCTTCCATCTTCCTTTACTGTTAATTTGCTTGTATTAGGCTGGTTGCTGTGAGGACGAAATTTGCACGCCTTTTTCCCTTTAACAACACAGAAACCATCAGCGTCCGCCAT